ATTTTTGAAATCTTTAGGTGATTTTGGGTCTGAATGGCTAATCATTCCCAATACTTGGGCAAATTGGGTTAAAGGCCAAAAAGACTTTATTGAATAAATTTTGTATGGGGGGGGGGTTCACTGTATTGTGTTACGACAATCCATTAGAAAGCCTTTCCACCCCAAAACGAATTGTCCTAAAAATAAAATAATATATAGTTTTGTGTGTTACTTAATTGGTTTTAATGTTCACCTTTGCACCATTAAATACCTTTGGTAATTCTAAGTGCTTATACAAATGTCTGATAGAAAAAAAATGAATGCTTTTACCTCGTTTTCGGCAAATCCTTTACAGAGCCGGGCTAACCGAGGGCCGCACCAAATAAATTTCCCCTAATGTTTGTAAATTCCTTAAATTGTGTTAAAAAATCTCCCAAAAATTTAAACATTAAATCCGTATTACTAAGTTTGTTGAAGCACTTAATGCTGTCCTTTTTGGATCCCTTTACACTCCTGCATGCCTGTTACACTTCTTGCATGCCTGCTACACTTCTGCAGCCTGCTACACTCCCTTACTGTCTGTACACTTCTTGATCCCTGTTACAACTCCTGCATGCCTGTTACATTTCCCTTGCATGCCTGCTACATTTCCTTTGCATGCCTGCTACACTTCTGTTGTTGTACATCCCTGTTGCCGGGTTACACCCCTGATGCCTGTTACACTCCTGCATCTGCTAAAATCCTTGCATGCCTGCTACACTTTTGCATGCCTGTACATTTGCACCTGCACATTTATCCCTTACACTCCCTGCTGCCTGTTAACTCGCATGCCAGTACACTTCTGCATGCCTGCTACACTCCTGTGCTGCTACGTTACTCCCTGCATGCCTGTTACACTTCGCATGCCTGCTAAACTTCATGCTTAAATTCCATGGTGTTTCTCACTTCCTGACCACAGGAACTTTACTAGGAACTTTCTTGAGCCATGGTTTTTTATTTTGCAGTTGCACTGCAAAAAAAAAAACACTAAAAACAATGGAAGAAAGCAAAATATTTGGATGTATAGCAGAAGCTTCCTCAAACCGAAAAAACCAGCCAATGAACCGCAAGCGCCCTGCGGTTTGGACGACACGTCTGAAAGGGCCGATCACGGGAGCCGAAAAACGCCAATCACCGATTTGGCAAATAACAGGAGGGGCCCGATAACTGAGGGTGCACCGTACATTATTTAGTACGATACTGGTCAGAGAGCCCAGTAATTTGTGCATCGGTAAATGAGTATGCCCGCCAAAATGGTAGAGGGTGTATATGCATTTTTACCCTGTTCTAAATGTTATCGGGTTTTTACATAACAAGGGGAAAAGAAAATGGCTAAGTTTCACTTTTCATCAATTTTTTTTTTAAATTCAGTACCCTGGAACCTAACCTGCTGTTTAACAGGGCCTGCCATTATATGGAATGGTTGTTTCTTTTATATGTTTAGAATAACGTTGTTGCTTTAAACTTAGAAAAGCTTACAGAGTAATGAAAAATACCAACCAAGGTGTATGTATTGTAAAAATGTATCGTATGGAATGTTTAATTCTTTATGTTGATTACTGTAGAAAAATGGCAGTTGGTTGGTGTGAACAGTAGTTTGCAGTAAGCACCAAAATTATGAGAAATTGAAGCAGGTGGCAACTGCTATCAACACCATAATTTATTTATTTATTTATTTAGTAATTTTAGCATACATACAGAGGTACAAAAAAATACAGGTAAGAGCAGCATGCCAAAGCCACTTATATGCATAGCATTATGGGCTGGCTTAAAATTAACTTAAGATTAACTAAGCAATGATGAAATAAGTGATAAAACATTATTGTAAACAGATAACAAATGAGAATTACAAAGACAGGTCATATGGTTGCATGCTTTGCTGTACATTCAGTCGAATGGAGTATTCTGTAGGTAGTGTATTTAAAAAAAATAAAGTTAGATTGGGTCCTGGGTTTTAACATTTGTGTGATATAATTGTGAGTAACATTTAGGATATACAATTTATAAGGTTCAGTTATTCAGTATTTATTTGGTTTTGAGTGAGTAAGTGATCTTTGAGAAGAGACTTGAATTTATAAACAGGTAGTGTTTCTTTTATATTTACAGGTAATGAATTCCAGATTTTAGGGCCTTTTAGGGTTCATTGAGTTTTTGCATAGCATGAGATGGACACGAGGAACATCAAAGAGTGATCTGTGCCTTGTGTTATGGTCATGTGTTCTGTTGAGGTTGGCAAGGAGATGTTTAGGGGAGGTTAATATCAAGTTAAGTGTTCTATAATGGCTTGACATTAATAATTTAAAAGAAAGTAAGAGTGCACTGCATATTTGTTCTTTAATATTTTGAATAAAGCATTTCCTATAATTCTCAGAACACACTGGACATTATTTATCATATTTAGGAATGCACTTACACCACATTTCAATATGTTTTTTTTTTACAAATAATAGACACCATGTGTGCACCATAATGCCCTGCTCATAATTACTACCAATATAGGCAGGCAAGTAGGAGATTATTTTAAGTTCATAATGAATCAATGGGCTGTGACTTTTTTTGTTTACCCTAGGTAATGTACACGTTAATATTTTTTTTAACAAACTGGCTGTATCGCACCCAGTAGGGGTGATCTAAAAACAAAAAGGAGTTCATCTTTTTAAATTTAGTTCCTCGTTATGACATGCATGACTTGCGCAGGAAGAATTCTGTTCCATGGAGATAAGAGGAAATAAACAAGAACTAGTAATAAAATAGAACAAAACCCAGAGAGGTGTGTACATGCATGTGTAGTGTAGAAGCACAAAGATGTACATAAAATGTTGTCTGTTTATGAGACAGAAAAAAGACATCAGCAATCTTACCATCATGTAAAATAATTACAGGTTTCTGTTTCACAGACACTAGTCAGGACAGTAGTACCTCCCTGGGCGGTTGCCGTCTACCAACCTACTACCGCGGGACATACATTTAATACAGAGGAACCCGTAATCGAACTTACTTCATTCCAGAAGGCTGTACGAAGCCGTAAGGTTGGGAAATATCAAATTAATTTTTCCCAAAAAAACTGTCTTTTTTGTTCCCTGTTATCATTCATCTTGGGCACCACAGTGATTTATTTATACAAATAATAAAAAATTAAAAAGACAACATAAAATGTGAAGAAACACAAAATAGTTCACAGGGTAGTTCTGGCACGTAGTGTTTGGTAGAGTTGCGAGCAAATTGTCAACCACTGAACAATGTTTTAACCAAAGTAAGCATTCGAATACCGAATTGTTCAAGTAGGGAGGTGTTCGAGTACTGAGGTTCCACCATACGTGCGATACTTTGTGTAACTGAATGTGTATGTACCAGTACCATCAAAAATATATATTACAGGTGGTCTCTTAGGCAACCTATAACAATGAAGAAGCATCAAGGCACCTATTTATTTTTGGCATTAGGACTGCAAGGTCAAGGGTTGTTAAATAGCATAATAAAGGTAAAATTGCAATAGGCAACAGACTCACAGGAGAGAACCAATGTACAGTTGTTCTGTGGAAGTTTTGTGTCCTTTGCTAGTGTGGTCATCATTTGCTGATTTGGTTAATTGTTATTTTAATGCTACAATGTATATGTGAGTGAAATAGACAATTACAATTAAATAATTACATTCTTCCACCCCTGTTGCTTGGTTGGTAGCAGATTGGCCTCACACACTGAAGACCTGGAGGGTAGATCGCTGGTATAGCTGGAAACATTAGGACGTGTTTCCTTAAGAAACCTGCTGTCCAGTTTGACCTAGCAGTAAAATAGGTACCTGGGTGTTAGTGGACTGTTGCAGGTCGCATCCTGGGTATGAGTGAGCTGATTTGGGTTGGATCCTGGGTATTAGTGGACTAGTGTGGGTTGCACCCTGGGTGTTAGGTGAATGTTGTTGGTCGCATGCTGGGTGTTAGTGGAGTGACGTTGGTTACATCCTGGTTATTAATGGACTGGTGTGGGTTGCATTCTGGTTATTAGTGGACTGGTGTGGGTCACACCCTGGGTGTTAGGTGATTGGTATGGGTCACACCCTGGGTGTTAGCTGATTGGTGTTGGTGAAACCCTGGGTGTTAGGTGACTGTTGTGGGCCACACTGTGGGTGTTAGGTGACTGGTGTGGGTCACACCCTGGGTGTTAGGTGATTGGTGTGGGTCACACCCTGGGTGTTAGCTGATTGGTGTGGGTCACACCTTGGGTGTTAGCTGATTGGTGTGGGTCACACCCTGGGTGTTAGCTGATTGGTGTGGGTCATACCCTGGGTGTTAGCTGATTGGTGTGGGTCACACCCTAGGTGTTAGGTGATTGGTGTGGGTCACACCCTAGGTGTTAGGTGACTGGTGTGGGTCACACCCTGGGTGTTAGGTGACTGGTGTGGGTCACACCCTGGGTGTTAGGTGACTGGTGTGGGTCACACCCTGGGTGTTAGGTGATTGGTGTGGGTCATACCCTGGGTGTTAGGTAACTGGTGTGGGTCACATGCTAATTTGCGGGAAATGCTCTGCGTAAGAAGGGACTTTCTATATAGCAGCATGTCACTGATGTCAGCTGTGGTCTGTATCATGTTACTGATGTCAGCTGTGGTCTGTATCATGTCACTGATGTCAGCTGTGGTCTGTATCATGTTACTGATGTCAGCTGTGGTCTGTATCATGTCACTGATGTCAGCTGTGGTCTGTATCATGTTACTGATGTCAGCTGTGGTCTGTATCATGTTACTGATGTCAGCTGTGGTCTGTATCATGTCACTGATGTCAGCTGTGGTCTGTATCATGTCACTGATGTCAGCTGTGGTCTGTATCATGTCACTGATGTCAGCTGTGGTCTGTGTCATGTCACTGATGTCAGCTGTGGTCTGTGTCATGTTCTTATAGAAATAAAAATATTATTATTATTACATATTAGAAATAATTACTGGCCACTACTTGAAATGGCCTTAAACTTGCCTTTCAGACACTTACTTTCCATCAAGAACATTATGTGGCTGCCCAGACTCGCATTCTGCAGCAAACTTGCGGTATTGTAGGAAAAACTCGCCATTGTTGTGTTTTTGGCAGGAAAAAATGTTGTTTAGTTGAAGGAGAGAAATATGTTTGTCTTTGTTGGGTTTATAAGGGTGAGTAAGAGGTGAAGCTGTATCATCCAGCCAAACTTGTCGATCACACCAGCAAGATTTGTTGCACAAAGCTGAACCAGGAAAGAAAAAGAACAAAAGTTCCTAAGTTAATAGAAACAGGAACTAAAAGTTCCTAATTAGATCAAGTGGAGCACTTTGCTAACCTCCAGCAGGGCCAGACACCTACACACCACCTAAGTTCAATAACCGGCTGCCCACCAAAACCGTTAAAGATTTAAGGGCAGAGAACTGGCTAATAATAATAATAATGATAATAATAATAAATAATAATAAATAATAATAATATCTTCATTTGTATAAGTACATGCACAATGACATATTACTACATCAAGGTACTTGTAGAGGATCCTCTGGTGCATGTCAATGTATTTCAATATCAAGGTACACATAGTTGATTATCAGAATCAAGGTCCTAATTACATCAAGGTCATATTAAGGTGTCAGGATCACAGTACTCCTAACATCCTGAGGATCAAGGTTCATGTAGAGGGTTTTGGAGTAAATTAAAGGTACATGTAGAGGATCCTCAGGATCAAGGATATCCTGACAACAAGGTACCTGGAGTTTACCTGGAGAGAGTTTCGGGGGTCAATGCCCCCGCGGCCCGGTCTGTGACCAGGCCTCCTGGTGGATCAGCGCCTGATCAACCAGGCTGTTGCTGCTGGCTGCACGCAAACCAACGTACGATCCTGATAATGAAGGTACTGCTGACATCAAGGTACATTTCATCCCAGATCATGGTTGGTGAAGGAACAAGAAATCAATCTTTTTAAAAAGACGAAGATAAATAATTGTCTTGATTCAAAAAGTACTCATATTATTATTATAATAAAAATAGAAGTGCTAAGCCACAAGGACTATACAGCAAAAGTACTCACAGCCAGGACAACCATGAAAACAGATGAGAACAGTGCATATACACTAGCAATAGTAATATACATGTCGTAATATATTTGTCGTACACAAATAAATACTTTTGTTTGAGGAAAGAGTATATTAATTTAGGAGAAAGGAAATATAAACGTTGATTATAGGAATGAAAGATTTCCCTAAATGACAAGAGTTGTTTTGAAACCATAGTACTCAACAAGGTAAGACAATGGACGCATGCGCAGTAGCGCCGTCACTGGTGTCAGGCTGAGAGAGTAGGACAAGGTGCCAGTCATGTTATTTAAGAAAATCACTAATGAACTCGTAATTTTTGTAGTAACAATAGAGAGACAGATGTAATAGAGTGTGGCATTATGTTATTCTGATGATAGCAGCAATACACTATTAAAATTAATTAAGATAAAACTATAAATAGTGTTTGAAGAATAAACTAAGTGGTAACACCATATAGAGGCTACCTTCCTCTCTCTCCCTGGATAAGAAAATTAGTTTTCTGTCAATATTTTTGTGTTCTGTGGATTAATATTTGCTAATTCACCATTAATTTATTTTATAAACTTGTAATTGTAAAAAAGTAAGGTTGTGAGGCCTCACAAATAACTATTTGTTATGGGAATACATTTTTTACCAATAAAAGAAATATTTTCGTATTGTCTTGATTGAAAAATGTACTCAGGGAGGCAGCCAGTATATGTGTGTATACGCGCCACCTACTGCAGGGTCAGGTAGCTGGTGGGTGTTGGAGCTGTGGACATGTAACTGTCTCTGCCACCACCACCATTACTATCACCAGCAAAACTACTCTTCTTCAACACCACTACTTTTGGCAATTTTTTTGAATACTTAGTATAAATAATAATTTTTTTCGTAAATAAAGAATAATAGTACAAAGGTATTTTTTCTCTAAATCAAGGTTCTCAAAGTTCCGTGTAGAGGCTCCTGAGAATCAAGGTCATATGTTGAGGTTTCAAGATATCAAGGTGCTCTTGATATCAAGTTCTTATGTAGAGCTTTAGCTACATCAAGGACATGAAGGTCCTAGGTATTTATTAACATGAAAGTCGGATTGTAATCATGATTCAGTTAATATTAAGGTACACATAGTGGTTTATCAACAACAAGGTCACATGTGGATAATCCTCGAAAAAAAGGTCTATGAAATAATTTATTTTAAATCAACCTCAAGGGAGGTTCCTTGATGCTGGTGAGGGGCTCTTGATCGAGGGAATTGGATCTCTGCTGTAGTTCCCCGAATTGAGCCTGAATACCTTCCATCCCCCCACATGCGCTGTAAAATCCTACGGGTTTAGTGCTTCCCTGTGATTATAATAATCACAAGCAATTGAATCTTGAAAAAAAGGAAAATTGACATCAAGGTCCTGTATAACCTCCCAAGGCCCCATATATTCTATTCAGGCCCCTAATAACCTCTCAAGCCCCTAATAACCTCCCAAGGCCCCTAATAACCAAACGTAACCTAACAAACCCAACATAACCTTACCTAACCTAACCTAACCTAACTAACCTAACCTAGCCTAACCTAAACTAACCTAACCTAACCTAACCTAACCTAACCTAATCTAACCAACCTAACGTAACCTAACCTAACATAACCTAACCTAATCTAACCAACCTAACATAACCTAACCTAATCTAACCTAACCTAACCTAACATAACCTAACCTAAGCTATCAAAACTAACCTAACCTAACTTAACCTAACCTAACCTAACCTAACCTAACCTAACAAAACTAGCCTAACAAAACTAACATAACATAACCTAACCAACCTAACCTAAACTAACCTAACCTAACCTAACCTAACCTAACCTCACCTCACCTCACCTCACCTCACCTCACCTCACCTCACCTCACCTAACCTAGCCTACTGTAACCTAATCAAACCTAATCTAACCAAACCTAAAATAACCAAACCTAACCTAACCTAACCTATCCTAACCTAACCTAATGTAACTTAACCTAACCTAACCTAACAAAACTAACCTAACCTAAGCAAACCTATCCTAACCTAGCCTAACAAAAGTAACCTAACCTAACCTAAGGTAACCTCACCTAACCTAACAAAACAAACCTAATCTAACCTAACATAACCCAAGCTAACCTCACCTAACCTATCCTAACCTAACCTATCTTAACCTAACCTAACCTAACAGAAGCTAACCTGACCTTACCTAACCTAACCTCCCCTGGCCCCTATAACCTACCCAGGCCCCTAATAACCTCCCCAGGCACCTAATAACCTCTGCAGGCCCCATATAACCTCCCTGGCCCCGTATATCCTCTCCAGGCACCTAATAACCTCCCCAATCACGGTAAAACCTCCCCAAGCCCATAATAACCTACTCAGGCCCCTAATAATCTCCCCGGGCCCCTAATAACCTCCACAGGCCCTTAGTAACGTCAGCAGTTTTCCAATAACGTCCCCAAGCCCCTAAAAACTCCCCAAGCTCTGTATAAAATCCATAGGTCCTGTATAACCTCCCAATGCCCCTAATAACCTACCCAGGCCCTGTTTAACCCAGTTAGGCCCTCTATTTAAACCCCTCCCTGGCCCTGTGTAACATTCCCAGGCCCTTATTAACCTCCCCAGTCTTCGTATAACCTCCCCAGGCCGCTAATAACCTCCCAAAGCCCCTAATAACCTCCCCAGGACCCTAATGACCTCAAGAGGGCACTAGTAACCTCCCCAGGCTCTCAGTGACATCCCCAGGCTCCTCATACCCTCTCCAAGACCTTAATACCCCCAGGCCCCATATAACCTCCCCAGGCCCCTAATAACCTCCCAGGCCCTTAATAGCCTCCCCAGGCCCCTGATAACCTCCCCAGGCCCCTAATAACCCTCAGGCCCTGTATAAAATCCCTAGGCCCCTAGTAACATTCCCAGGTCCCTATTAACCTCCCCATGCCCTGCATAACCTCCCCAGGCCCCTAATAACCTCCCAAGGCCCCTAATAACCTCACCTGACCCCTAATAACCTCCCCAGGCCACATATAACCTCACCAGACCCTGTACAACCTCTACAGGCCCCATATAACCTCCCCAGGCCCCTTATAACCTCCCAAGGACCCTAGTAACCCCCCCCAGGCCCTAGTAACCTCTCCAGGCCACTAATAACCTCCCCAGGCCACTAATAACCTCCCAAGGCCCATAAGGCCCAGGCACTGTATATCCTTCCCAGGCCCCTAACAACCTGACCTAATAGCCTAATAACCTAGCCAGACCCTGTATAACCTCCCCAGATCGCCTAATAACCTACCAAAGTTCCTAATAACCTACACAGGCCCCTAAGAACCTCCCAAGGCTTCTAGTAACCTCCACAGGACCCTAATAACCTCCCCAGACACCTAGTAACGTCCCCAGGCCACTAATAACCTCCCCAGGCCCAGTATATCCTCCAAAGGCCAATAATAATCTCCCCAGGCCCCTAATAACTTTCCCAGTAAACCTCCCGTGGCTCCTAATAACCTCCTCAGGCCCCGTATAACCTCTCCAAGCCCCTAATAACCTCCCCAAGCACATAATAACCTTCCCATCCCCTTTAAATTTCCTCCCTAGGCCCCTAATAACCTCCCCAGGCCCTAGTAAACCTTTCCCTTTGTCCTCAATAACCTCCCCAAGCCTCTAAAAAATCTAAAAAATATTCTGTGGCCTGGGGACCTTTTTAGCAGCCTTGTGACCTTTTCGGAGCCTGGGGACCTATTCTGGGGCCTGGGAACTTTTTGGAATCCTAGGGACCTTTTTGCATCTTGGGGACCTATTGTTGGGCCTAGGGACCTTTTTGCAACCCAGTGGACATATTCTGGGGCCTCTGGACCTGTTTTGGGGCCTGGGGACCTTTTCTGGGCATGGTGACCTATTCTGGAACCTGGGGACCAATTCTTGGGTCTGGTGATGTTTTTGGGGCCTGTGGACCTATTCTGAGACTTGGGGTCCTATTCTGCAGCTTAGGAACCTTTTTGAGGCTTGGGGACCTATTCTGGGGCTTAGGGACCTTTTCATTGGCATGGGGACCTATTCTGGGGACTGGGGACCTTTTTGTTTTCCTAATGACCTTTTTGGGGCCTGGGGACCTATTCTCGATACTGGTGACCTTTTCGTATGTCTAGTGATCTTTTCGGGACCTTGGGACCTATTCATGGGCTTGGGACTTTTTTGGAGGCCTGGGGAACTTTTTGTGGCCTGGGGACCTATTCTGGGGACTATGGACGTTTTTGGGGCATGGGGACCTATTCTGGGAAATGGGGACCTATTCTGGGACCTGGGTACCTTTCTCAGGGCCTGGGGTCGTATTCTGGGGCCTCGGGACCTGTTTGGGAGCCTGGGGGCATTTTTGGGG